ATTCACTTTCAGACGTTCCTGACAGTCCCTCAGACTTGAAATAAACCAATATTTCGGAGTATATGTTACGCCATTAACTCCAAACGTTCACTGAATTGAGAGAACTGATGAATACAAACAGCTGATACTGAGCATGAGTGTTCTACCGAACTGTTACAGCCGCGGTTCTCGGATCTCCAGTACACTGTGAATTTGGCGAAATGTAAGTTAATAAAAAAATAAAACGTATGCCTAAAGTTACTGGAAAATGCAAATGCTATTAGTTATATCAAACAGCATTTTTAACATGATGTACAGGCAACAACTGTTTAGTGAAAACGTAAATGAAATTTGCTATTTACTATTGTATGCACGTTATAGTTTAAGCTTTATGAGCTGAATCCTCATTTCTGTAAAAAGCTAATGAAGACTAGTTCAATTTATATCTATAAGACTTGTAAAACATCTGTTTGCACATCAGAGCCTTATATGGGTGCTTTTGCAAAAAGCTAATGTAAGAAACTTTTCCAAGACGACGATGATGGTGGTGATTATTATTATTTAACGTAGGTTATGATTACAAATTACTTTATTTGAATGTGTTTGAGCGTATTTACATTCGCTGGGACGATAGAAATGACCTCATTAGGTAAGGACGTAAAAGAACTAGTAAACCTGTTTTTTGAGCCGGTTCATTGAAACGAACTGTCCGAAAGAACCGGTTCGTGGAAAAGAACCGGACTTCCCATCACTACTAAAATTGTGGATCGAGTTAATGTTGATAAATAGATCAACCGTGTACATATAAGTGACTTTTTAGCGTTTTCTTAATCTGATCTCATTATCGTTAGTTTTAAGTAAGATGTTCAGTGAATATTTCTGTATGTAACGTGTATGTGTACTTGGCTGGAGTTTGACTTTTTGTTTTTTATTTGCAGGATCAGTACAGTGCTAGCAGAGTGGAAGCACAACTCCGTATTGATGCGGTGGTGTTGCAAGATTTGTTGATTTTCCTCGCCTAACCAGCGTGCCCTAATCACACACTACAAGCTGAAACACTGCCATCAGGCAAGTCACTGTCCACTCCCATGCATCTATAAAGATTGTGTATGCACATTTAAGAGTGAACTATCTCTGAAGAAGCATTTCACTTGTGACCATAGTGTGTTCAGAGTAAGTGTCTAAAAAGTAACCTATACGATATGTATGTCATATTCCAAGTCTTCTGAAATCATACAATCTCTTTGTATGATGAAAGCATCAAAATTTCAGTCTTGGGTTACAAAAATATTTGATTGTATTTGAGTCTACATAAATATCAAACCTCATTAGTTCTTGCAAGTCTTTTGATCAAATGTCATGACACAAGAACTAATGAGGTTTGATGTTGTTGTATTATGTCATAGGTATTCTTGAATTTTTTTCAAACTGACTGTTTTGTTGTTACCTTGTATTACTTCCTCTTTCCTTGTCACAGTTTTTGAACAGTGAAGTTTTGTGAATTTTTTTTAACACCGCTTATTGTGAATTCTTCATGTACATTTGTTCCTGCAATGAAAATATCTGATAATGACAAGGAGAGTTATCTGTACTATTTTGGCACTAAGATGGGTCTGTGCATAGAGAAGTTTGCACATGTTTGTGTGAGCTGTGTATATGTGAAGATTTTTCTCGTGTAGTGTTTTTATACCTTTGCAAGAGAATTCTTTGTGTCTGTGTTTTTGGATGCAATGTATCCATTTAAAAAGTAAATGCTGAGTTTCAATTTTGCAGTTGATTTCATAAAAAAATCTGGTTCATCACAGGACAACGTTGACTAAATTTTCTTCATTCCTGAATGTATGCGCGCGATCTGTACGTTATGTGCGAGCTTGTGTGTTCTGTCCGTGTGCAGCAATGTAGCAGCACATTAGTTTCGAGCGGAGATTAACAAACTGTACAAATTACAACATGCTTTCACCTCCCGCACTCGTCCATCGCCATTTTAACCGTAATATGTGATCCACATATCTGTCAAGCTAACTAATTATGTTTAATGCGTGAGTTGGCATAATTTGTGCTCGTGACGGAGCGAGTGAAAACCCTACGGAGCCCCTAAAGGGACATGGTGGTGGAAAAAAAATTCGGGGTGGGAGGACTAAAGCGAAACTGAAAGTATGGGCTCACGTACCGCTCTCATTCAACACAAATCCAAATGTTTCCATATTCGCAATGTATTTGAAGCAAACCCATTATTTATTAAATTAAATTAACTGGGCTTTGTACGTTCCAATATCGAAGGGGAAAAAATCATAATGAACAAAAATGTGCCGCACTGGAGTGGACCGGGGCTCACGCTGTACGGCACAGACTATAATACAGATTTAAATTGACTGTGTAACATTTTATCTGTATTGGTGATTCTATGTTTTATTTTAATAATGAACAGGCCGTTTGCAATGAATATGTGCGCATGATGCGCCGGCGCGATCAAATCGCTGAAACATAAAATACTCCGTCACTTACAATAGGGCATAATTCGAAATTGCAAAGTGCTAGCAGTTTGAAGATTCAATCATATAAAAGATTATTAGAAATTGTATAAAGTGAGCACTGATACGTTCTTATTTTACGTTCTCCGAAACGAGAATGCAATTTTCCCTGAATATCCAAAAGACTGCAAATGTGACATTGATTTCATTGATTTTTTCAACAAAAAAGGCAATATTAAGTGTACATTTTACATTTTAAATGTAGCCTACATTTTAAACACAATATTGTCAATATTGTTTGTTATATTTTACAAGGAAATAATAGTTCCAACGAAATCGTTGGTGAATGAATCTGCAGCTTTGAATGATTCGGAGAGTACTGATAATCGGAACTGATTAATAACCCTTTCATAACTACAACCATTTGCTTGGTTACTGAATGAATGAATGCTTCGCCTTGCTCATTAGACAGTGACTTGCCGCCACCTACTGGCGATTTTAGTTTTGAATCTACAAGTATAACTTCGTTTTGCCATCATTTATTGCTTTATTTATTATATTAATAATACACTTAATGGAATATGACATAAAACATGACATACAATTAATAAGGCTAGAAAAACTTTGCCTCTATAACAGTAAAAATGCACATGTAAATCAATTTAAGGGGGCAAATATGGTCCCTTAATGGAAAACTGTAACTGCGGTCTAAGTGGGGGTACTCAGAAGAATGTTAGGCTAAATGCCCTAGGGGGTACGCCATTGTAAAAGGTTTGAGAACCACTGGCTTAATGGATTACTGCGTTGATTGCCTGTAGTATATTTTTAATAAAATATAAAATGTGGGCTTTTTATATCACTTCTTCTTATATTAAGCCACGTTAAGCGCGGTTTTCTATGTGGGAAGAAAACGCTTATCATGCAATTCAGCTCATATGGGCTCATCTGCTTGCATGTACACAGAATATATTTTTAATAAGTTCTATAGCATATTTGGTCTTTTTTTATATCACCGTCTTCATTAAGCCGCGTTTTCTTTATGGAAGGAAAACGCTTCTGTTCTTCTGGGCTTACTGCTTTCATGTATAATTTATTAATAAACTGCATACCGAATTCGGCCTTTTTATACCACTATCTTAGTCCATTAATTAAGCATTTTCTTTCTATGAGGGATACTCTTAAAGTGCAATTCAATTTACCGGGTTACGTTCATATTCTGGGCTATTCTGCTTGTCTGTATGCTTTATTAATAAGGTATGTACTGAATTTAGTCATCCAGTGGTTTACATTAAGCGTTTTAGAATGTCCCAAAACCGTGCCTTGATAAGCATGCACTGACTATTTCGTCCAAGTTCAAAACAAAACTCTATGAACTGCTCCACTGTGAACGTATGGAGCTGTATGAACCACTACAATCTGTAAAGTAAACAGGAAGTGTTTGTCCGAACTCAACTGCTTTTGCGAGGGAACGCAAAAGTTTTGAGAGAGAACGCAAATGTTTTGCGAGGGAACGCAAAGTTTCTCGAGGGAACGCAAAAGTTTTGCGAGAGAACGCAAATGTTTTGCGAGGGAACGCAAAGTTTCTCGAGGGAACGCAAAAGTTTTGCGAGAGAACGCAAAAGTTTTGCGAGGGAACGCAAA